AGGTTTCACACCTATCTTTGAATTTATTAAATGATCCTTTATATTTTTCGGCCTTCTGTATACAACACAAGGAGGAGAAGTGAAAATTTTGGATAGTCGCACGCTCTGTTCCAGTATGTTAAAGTGTTTTCTTAGGACCTTGTTTATGTTCGGTGGGTTGCTCGTGAAAGTTAATAGCAAGTTTTTGTTGCGGTGTTGGTCGGCGTTTCTCTGGTGGTTGAGAAGAATCTGGCGGTCCAGATTTTCAGCTTTTTTGATGGCGTCATCGATGATAGCTGGTGGGTATTCTTGATTAAAAAGTACTTCGCGCATATGTGTGCTGTTTTTGTGGAAGTCCTCGGTGCGGGAGCAGATTCGTCGAAATCTGTGTGCTTGGGAATAAGGAATGCTGGTCTTGCAATGTCGCGGGTGGCAGCTTTTGAAGTGCAGGTATTGTTACCTGTCTGTAGATTTTCTGTATACGTTAGTTACCAACGCACCATCGTCAACCCGAATGAGTACATCAAGAAAGTTTATTTCAGTGTTAGAGTAGGTGTGTGTAAAATAAATGCTGGGGTGTACCTGGTTGAATGCCTGTATGAATTTGAGGAGCTCGTTTTCCGAATGTGTCCAGATTATGAATATATCATCTAGGTACCGTTTATAGAGTAATGGTTTGATATTACAAGATGAAAGAAAATTGGATTCTATGTGGTGCATGAATATGTTGGCGTAGATTGGGGCCATTCTTGTACCCATTGCCGTACCGCTGATTTGAAGATAGTACTGGTTGTTAAATTCAAAGCTGTTCAAATCGAGTACAAGTCTTGTGAAGATTTCAATTACTTTTTTGCTTGGATAAGCGACAGGGTTGTGTGTGCCATACGATTCAACAAGTGCCCTTGTTGGTGTAAGGGCACTTGTTGAATGGTATATATATATATATATATATATATATAAATATATATATATATAAATATATATATATATATATATATATATATATATATGTGTGTGTGTGTGTGTGTGTGTGTGTGTGTGACGTAAGAAGGCATGCAGGGATGGTTAGGAGAAGTAGATGAGGAAGAAGTGCAGAGTAGAATAAACATGGCGTATGAGCCAGGCCACGTCACCCAGTCATCATAGCGCCACACGAGTTGGCAGGATGAAGACCTCCCAGTCACTTCATCAGTGTCTCATCATCAACGCAGTTCTACACAAGAGGCCTTGACCATACATCGACTACGGAATCATCTCCTAGCCGCACACAGCGACCAGCACCATGACAGAATCATCGACCGACCTTCCCATCCCCATGTACACCGGAGCAGCGGACGATGGACCTGTACAAGACTGGTTTGACCTGTTCGAGTTCCACGCTACCGCTGCATCATGGTCGGAACGGGAGATGGTTATGAACTTCAGCGACTACATCACCGGTGAGGCATTTAAATTTTACCTTATTCACATATTCGAGAACGACGAGTCATGGCAAAAAATCAAAGAGGAGATGATTACCCGTTTTAATGACTATGACCAAGACTTCCTCATTGCCAACCATCTAGAGACAACTGTACACTATCGTCAATTTCCTAAGCAGTTCTCAAGCATTCGAAAGTCCAGTGCGAATCGACAAGTGCCTCAAGACGAAGTGGCACATGAGTTTACTTTCAGAAGACCATGCGTGTTCTGGGAAAAACCTAACCACCAAGCACGCCTCCCTTCTGCACAAAAGCCGGCATTTCGAAAGTCCTCACTCCAGCCTACGACGCGAGACATTGCCCACCGACCTGATGCTCGTAATTCTTCGTCTCGCATACGCGGTCCACCACGCGGTTTTCCATCACGCGGCTCTTCAAGCGCTCCTGACGCTCACCGTTTGCCTCATAAGGAAACCATGTTCACGATAGACGAGTTCACACACCAAGAAAATACCCAGTCGAGCCATGCTCCTTTCGCCCGGGCTGATGCATCACCGTCCGGTGCACACACCCTCGACAGTCTAAACAAAACAGAACGCTCAGATGCATCGAACGTCGCACGCTACCAGGCGCCAGGACCACTCGCAGTGAACAGCGAAAAAGAAGCCCCTGAAGAGCTCCCTGTCATTTCTACGGCACCGCAGAATTGCCAAAATTAGCAGTTCAAACCTAGTAATGCCATGTCACATGTGGTACCTTCATGCAGTGGTCACCAATCGAAGAATCGAACAAATTCAGAAGTGCATAATACATCAAGCCTTGTACACAGTTGTCTATCGGAAGCACCCTTAACGAACCCCGTCACCGAAGCCTCTGAAGAGCATGCTAGCAATGATGATGCATTGCCAACTATGCCCGACAAGCAAGACACCAGTTCATTCATCAGCTGTCTACAGGACGCGTCAAACACCGAACGAAATGAATGCCCCATTCCTGAACGGGCGCCACTACAGCCATCTCTTGAGCAGCCTCAGCAAAGCAAGCAAAGCCAAGTTCATAAACCCATGCTACAACAAAAGAAACTGCAACGAGGGCATCGACGAACACGAAATTCAACGGAAGCGCACGCACCAATAAAAGAACATCGGAAAATAAGATCTCTAAACCAAAGACCGATTCAAGACGTCAGGCAATTTCGCACAAAGAAAAGTCACCAGAAACGCTCCCTGCACCTGCTATTACACCGACTGCACCACCACAAAAAACGCCGAGAAAGACGCAAAAGCACTGCTTGCACACCGCAAGCACTCAGGCACTTCGTCACAGTCGGTCAAAAAGCACGAAAGCAAGAAGCACCGGAATTGCACCATTCACGACGAAAAATACAACCCCGACGACGTACGAGCCGCCGATGCAAGGATGCGTTCCAACCTTGCTTAGTCCCCAGAACAGTTCAAGCAGTGTTGTCGGTATCCATGTGTAGCCCGCTCTGTCCGGAACGCAACAGTCAAGCTCGACCACCAGAGTCGTCATAAAAATCACCGGACTGCTCCCTCGGCCTTGAAGATTTAGTGAGATTGTGAAACTATGTCGGGACGACTGTGAATTTGGCCAATATTTTGTTTATTCTCTGCAATTTGTTGTAGCTCGTAACCGGTGCCATCTTTCGGGGGGAGGGGGAATCGTGTGACGTAAGAAGGCATGCAGGGATGGTTAGGAGAAGTAGATGAGGAAGAAGTGCAGAGTAGAATAAACATGGCGTATGAGCCAGGCCACGTCGCCCATTCATCGTAGCGTCACATATATATATATATATATATATATATATATATATATATATATATATATATATATATATATATATATATATATATATATATATATAAACTACCACGGTTCAGCTGACGCTTAATTCAAGCAACAGCAAGATGACACCGATGATGCGTCTGTTGTTTTTCCTGTGCCACGAAGGCTGGCTGGCCTATTCCCACGTATTTAAAAAACACCGAGCGCCTGCATTTGTGGGAAATCACATGCTTCAATGTATGTGGTTTGCGTGGTGGGTGTGGTGTATTTATTCTCACTTAGTTACGGCCGGCTCTACATCGGCCAAACTGGACGGTGTTTGAACGTCAGGATTAGGAAACACGAGCTTTCAATTCGAAATAATTCAGGAGCACATTTGCCTGCCCATTGGCGTTCCTGTTCTTGTGAGGCGAGGTTTTCAAGCGTTCCTGTCCTCGCAAAAATCCCACATGCTCTGGCCCGTGAAATAATGAAAGCATTCTGAATAAAGGGAAAAAAAGATACTTGTGTATAAGTGACACGTCAGTTGTTTTGTACATGTCTGAGTTTGATTTTTGCGCTTCGTTGCTTGATTAGAGACGCCTTTTGAATGTCCTCAGTTTTTGTGTGTGTGTGGTCATGTGACTAGGTGAACTAGTGTGCTTTGCGCATGTGTGGTGCGCCTATATATTTTCTGCGTTTTTCCTGCAAATAAATTAGTTGCGAGTTGATGCTCTTTCTCCGTGTGTCTTGCTTCATGTGGTGGTTTAGGCGTCCAGGAGTTCCCTTCAGAAAAAAGACAGGTGTGCGCTGACAATCCATTATCCGCGTCTTGAAAGCGCACCCTCATCATCGACATGTAGAACCAACTGGCCCAATTAAGGTCGCCGGGAAACTTCCCCTGCAGTTTATGCATTTTCTGTTTACATAGACGAAGCCAGTGTCAAAGGGAACATGGAACGGGGGCGCACTCATCGAAACACCACGACGGATATTTCGCGCGGCGCCCGTCGGCCACGCAAGCCATGTTACCTGCAGCAGCGGCCGCGCCTATACCTTCCGTGTGCTACATCTAGCTCTTTTGTATAGCCACTAGACGGTGCTCTTAACACAACCTGGTCACTCCCTTGCTTACACGGCGGATGTCCGTGTTTTGTGAGGGCTCCAGATCGACTGTGCAGATAAGTGTGTTTCCGCGTTTTGAGTTCGCCTTTAAAGTTATTAAAACAACAGCCTAAGCCTTTATAGCACTTATCACATTTTACGCCTTTTGGGAGAGTCAGTCACCGGGTATTGTTCATTTGTGTGTTTTTTTCTCCTGCTAACTCGGGGATAGGGCGCAAGCACACCGAACACGTAAAGTGTTGTAGCAGAGCTTAGACACTTTTGCTTAGAGCAGGGTTCGTTGTACGCCGCGTGTTGTAATTATCGAGGGGGACAACTCATCAGGACAATTGGTGTCAAGAAGACAGGCAGTGCAAAAACGGGCCGTCATTTTGATAACAATCTCTATTTTTGACGAGTCGCCGGCGTCAAACGCAAAAGACGGAGGCTTCGCCGTCATTTAGCGAGCGGAGAGAATCAGGCATGAGAGACAGAAAAGGAGAAGAGGTTCCAGTGTGCTTCGGTTGGCTACCACGCGTCATGTGACACCTCACTCTCTCTGGCGCCCCTTTGAGGTCATCATCTCTCTATGAGACAGTGGAAAGAAGGCCGCCGCTGCTGTGCTAGTGCGAGAGAGAGAGAGGGACAGCCGAGGGAGCCGGTACATGCATTGCCAACCTGTTCCTTCGTGTCTCTTCAACCTTCGCGCTGTTTTTTTTTTTTTTTTTGCGTCGGGGAGAAGTCTGCACCTTGGTGTGCCATTTTGTCTTATTTCTTTCGTGGTGCACTGGAAAGATCGATGGCCCGTGTAACGCGCGTTCTGCTCGACGCTCCAGCCTAAAGCCAGGTGCAAGGTGAGTGTGCTTATATACTTCTTTCGTCTGTTTACATCCTTCGGCTGTCCATGGTTTTAACACATCACCTAGTTTGCGAGTAGCGAAGAAGCAAGCGCTAGTTTTCGCGGGTTGTGGAGTTGACTTCTTTCGCGCGTCTGTGCGACTTCTCTACTTGCAGTATGCATTCAAGCTACATGCATGCGCCTTTGGAGTTAGCCCAACACCGCCGCCTTGGGAGGTGCTTTCGCGCCGAGGCTGAACTACGTGCAGTAATTTTCAGGCGTCAGATTTATAAAGAATGATAAAAAAATAAAAGTCCTCTTTCTGTGAAAAAAAAAAAAGAAAACGTGAGCGTACGAGGAGCATTAGCGCGTGTTTATTGCCCTTATCCCGCACTTTCGATCACGATTGAAAGTGGTTTACGGTGCAAAGATCGGAATCGATTGGTCGAGTGCATTAGCATCTTATGTACCGCTGAATACATTGAGAGTACCTGATGAAGATGTTTCGTAAGCACATTTTGTTCTTCCTTTTCATCTGTTTGTTATATTACTTGCGCTATAGGCCCGTGATGATCATCAGTTTACTGCATAAAATGCAGACGTTGGTACCTCATTGCGATCGGGCAATTCTACCCTTATTCACGAATCGCAATGGAAAGTGACCTTAGCTTGTAAATGCACACGGAAGCCTAAATACGTCGCGGAAAAAAGACCTAGATGGGAAAAACAGAGTGTATTTTGAGGAACATTGTACCAAGAGCAATCATGCGCGTGGGTTGACTGAAATATTTGAAGGAAAAGTTACTCCTTATCAAACCAGCAGATATTACTTCGTAAAGTTGGCAAACTGGAGTTAAGTGCAGCGTTATGAACAAGTGCAAGCACTTAAAACGCAGTAGGTTTAGGACGACTCGGGGATGTGTCAAGTGCTTGCAAGTTTTTATGCAAGTTACTGCATGCAACTGTCTGATAGACATCATTCACTGACTGCTAATAGCTTCAATCGTTTTTAGTTCACAGGCCTGGTCTGAAGGGTCAACAGACACCTTCTGGCGTAGACGGGTCAACTTCAAGCATATTTTGTCGTGGATGCCACTGCAACTTTCACACTGCCAAGCGAGCTATATTTACTCTATATTTCACAAATATTTCAATAAGTCTCCTTGTTTTACCATTTCTGGTTACACGTGAATTTCATTTGTAAAGCCATACCACCTCCTAAATCATGTCTTCAAAATTGATACCTCTAATTTTATGTCCAGGCCAACTCTCCCCATGCACCCAAGCCACAGTTGCTTGGGCTCATTGTGAAGGAGGCCTTTATGGAAGTCAAAATGTCTTCTTTTTATTTTTTCATGTATTTTCTCTTCTTGAACAGTGTGAGGGCTTGTAGTACGAGCTGCATTTTCCTCTGCTTATTTTAAACAATGCAATGTGGCCCTTAGAAGAATGATGTGTGATTTAGACAGGTATGTCTGGTTATTACAATTTTTCTCCCGAGTCTAACCGTTTTTTTTTTGTGAATTTCCAGCATGCAGGTGAAGAGAGCCTGGAGAGGATGCCAGGAACACCTCATCTAGCTGTCATTAGTGAGTATGTCAAAGAGAATTTTCCTGCTCAAAACGTACTTGTTATTCAAGGAAAAAGTTCTTGGAAAGATAGACATGAAAAATTCGAGAACGTGAAGTGTCACTGGAGCAAACGTTTTGACAAGTAAACTTGTCTTCTTCAAGGCTGCTGCCTTCAAGAAGACAAGTATACCTGGAAATAAAGGTAAAATGGAAATAAAGGTAAAGGTTCCGCATACCTGGAAAGAAAACAAAGATGGGAGAACGTCCTCGCCACCTCAAGCTGGAGCAAGAGGGAAGATGACGAGGCGGCGATCATCAACCTTTGGCCACTCCAGCGCTTCTCTTCGCGACCAAAATAAACGGCCTCGTCAACCGTGTACATCCGGGTCTTCTTTTTGCGTAACATATTGGTGGAAGTACAGGGTGAGACAAACCCAACGACTGGAGCTTCACTACCAGAACTTCGCAGCCGCCACCTTGCCGGACTCCCGCCTGCGCCGATCGTAATGGCCCAAGATCCGCCATCTAAGGCTTCAAGGCCAACTCCAATGGGTTCCATGCCATACTACCGTGCCCAACCAACCTTCGGAGGAAAATCGGGAGAAGATGTCAACGCGTGGCTCGGCCAGTAGAAGCGAGTCAGCAAGTCCAACGACTGGGATGCCACTGCTCAGCTCACCAATGCGGTTTTCGCATTACGGATACTGCTTTCGTGTGGTACGAAAACCTTGAGGACACACTGACGACGTGGGACGTTTTTGTTGCAGAGCTGAAAGCATGTTTTGGCGACTCGAGCGTCAAACGGAAGCGGGCTGAGCAGACATGTCTCATCGTGCGCAGCTGCCATGTCAAACATGCACCACGTATATGGAGGATATGCTGAAGCTCTGCAAAGTAGTCTATGCTCAGATGTCAGAAGAAGACAAAGTAGGACATTTGCTGAAGGCATAGCCGAGGATGTCTATAAATTTCTCATAGAAAAAGAGCACCTAAGCTCGGTGTCCAATGTTATTCGGCGTTGCTGAACTTTCGAACCAAAGGATTGCTCCAAAGTTCGGCCAGCACGTTCACCCATCTTCGTTTTCTTTCTAGGCATGCGCAACATTCCTCCCCTCGCGTGTGGTCTGACTGTCGACTGCCGCACTGGGACGATATTCTTGAGTGATCACGTTCCGCCAGCACTCTTGGAAAACCAAGATGTGGATGGTGAGACGGCATTGTCTGTCTGTGGCCACACTATCACACCACCGTTATCAACCGTTCGTCTACCTGTTGTTAGCAGCGACAGCGGTTCCGCCAACTTTAAAGCCAACGTAGAACCAGTGTACACCAACTGCATGAAAAATAATGTGTTGATCCATATTGCGTGGTGTCGATCAGACGTGGACGCGCTGGTTTATGGACTGCCAATGGCTCCACAGAGCCCGTGATGTTGCCAGATGGTTTAAAGTTAGCCGTCGCCAGTGGACAACACGAGGCCTTACTGGTGACCGAGCTTTAGAGATGTGCCAGAAGAGCACCGTAGTTGCAGTTTGGAAACGGCTCTTCGGTCAATGGGGAATAAATCGCTAAGCACAAGTGAACGCCGAACATTAGTAAATGTACTTTGGAAGCACGCGTCTGCATTCGACTTTGCGCAGAAAGAAAAAGCGCCCTTAATCTCTGCTTCTCGGACATGTCACATCATCAACACGGGTTCGGCCAATCCTATTAGACAAAAGCCATACCGTGTTTCACCTTCCGAGAGGCGTAGTATTAATGAGCATGTGAACGAAATGATTCAAAACAGAGTCATTCAAGAGTCGGTGAGCCGATGGGCAGGTCCAGTGATTCTCGTTAAAAGTAAAGATGAATCCTGAAGATTTCGCGTTTATTATCGCCGATTGAATGCTGTAACGAAAAAAGACGTCTACCCACTTCTACGTATTGCTGATGCCATCGACATTCAGCCTTTTACTTTTCCTCTGTAGACCTAAGGTCGGCCTTTTGGTAAATTCCCATGCATCCTGAAGCTAAAGAATGACAATCTTTGTAACCCCTGACGGCCTTTTCGATTTCAACGTGATGCCATTTGGACTGTGCGACGCACCGGCGACGTTCGAGCGATTTACGGACACTGTTCTTCGTGGCTTGAAGTGGAGCATTTGCATGTGCTATCTCGACGACGTCGTCATCTTTGACCACACCTTCAGTGAACACAATTCACCTCTGGATACTGTACTGACTGCGTAAGAAACGCTCGCCTTGTTCTTAACTCAAATAAATGCCACTTCGAAGACCGACATACCCTTGTTCCCGGACACCTAGTCGATCAGGATGGCATCCGTCCAGATCCCCAAAAGACAGAACCCGTTGAAGCGTTCAGTGCGCCACGCTCTTTTAAGGAGCTCTGTAGTTTTCTTGGGCGTTGCTCTTATTTCGGGTACTTTATACCGGAATTGGTCGATTTCGCGTGTGCGCTGACAATTTTGCTACTGAAGAATATTCTTTTCGAGTGGACTCCGGAGTGCGACTCCTCTTTCCGTCAACTGAAGTTCCTCCTGACGTCGTGGCCTGTTCTTCAACACTTCAATCCATCAGCTCCTACAGTGCCAGTGGAATACTATGCCAGTGGAATAGGAATTGGGGCCGTCCTAGTTCAGTGCTACGGTAACCGCGAGCGCGTGATCGCATACGCAAGTCACTCCTTGAGTAGGCTCGAGCAGCATTATACTGTCACAGAACAAGAATGCCTCGTGGTATTATTTGCGATTCAGCGGTTGCGGTCTTATATGAACGCCCTTTTACAGTCGTCATCGACCACCACTCATTGTGTTGGCTTGTGAACCTTCGGAACCCTTGCGGCCGTCTGGCGCGCTGCGAGCTTCGGCTCCAAGTGCATAGCTTCATAGTCTCGTATAAAAGTGGTCGACGACACGCTGACGTTCATTGCCTTTCGCGCATGCCACTGAGCACTACAAATTGTGACGCCAATGACCTCGACCACCTCGCAGCTTGTGTGTCACCAAAGCTTCCTGACCTCAGTACTTTAAATACGAACAGTGAACAGACACCAGACTATCGTTGCTCTGCACAGCTTCTATGGCATGTTACTTCTTTGTACGCAATGAACTCACGTATAAGAACTTTTCCAGCACTGGCGCACGATTCCTCCTGGTGGTGCCGGAAAGCCTTCGAACAGTGATTTTAAGTCCTATGCACGACGATCCTACGTCCGGACATTTACGTTTTGCGTGGATGCTATACCAAGCTAAGGAACGCTTTTATTGGACGGGGTGATACTGGCCGTCGATGTGTATGTGACCAGCTGCACGCAGTGTCAACGCCACGAACGTTCATCTACTGCTCCGGCTGGTCTTCTACAGCCCTTTCCACCTCCAAGCCTCAACCTCTCCAACAAGTGGACATTGACTTCATGGACCTTTTTCTAAAGTCGGCTAAGGGCAATCGCTGGATAATTGTATGCATCGATTACCTCACGCGCTACTGCGAGGCGGTGGCCATACCAACCGCAACTGCCAGTGACGTCGCTGTGTTCTTGCTGCAGCGCGTTATCCTCCGACATGAACCACCTCACGCGACCATCAGTGATCGGGGACGACAATTCACGGCAGATATAGTAGAAGAGCTCCTTTCATTGAGGGAGTCTCACCTTTTCACTCGTCGTCATACCATCTGCAAACAAATGGGCTCATGAAGCGTACCAACCGAACAATTGTAAACATGCTCTCTATGTATGTGGTATCCGACCACGAGAACTGGGACGACGTGCTACCATTCATGACGTACGCGCTCAACACCGCTAAGCACGAGACAACAGGCAATAGCCCCCTTTTCTCGATGTATGCACGACTGCCGCGGCACACAATCGACACAGTTTTGCAACTCTCGACGCACGAGAACCTCTCTGTCAACGGAATCCTCTGCCTTGCAGAAGAGGCGCGGCGTATTACTCGTCTACGCACTTTGGCATCACAGGAAAAACTAAGGCACGCTACGACGTCCGCCACCGGCCTGTAACTTACCATCCAGGAGACTTAGTGTGGCTCTGGCCTCCGGCATGAAGACGCGGGTTATGCCAAAAGTTCTTGGCCACATATGAAGGACTGTTCGTTGTTCTCAAGAAAATCGTAGAACTCACGTACACAGTTGCTCGCCTCACGAGAAGTTGTAGTAGAGCTGCTCAAATCCAAGCAGTCCATGTCGCTCGTCTGAAGTTGTACACACCAAGGTGAAGCAATTAACTTGCCCGGTGGGTTTCTTCTGCGAGGGGAGGAATGTTTCACATGCCTGGAAGAAAAACGAAGATGGGTGAACGCGCCAGCCACCCCAAGCTGAAGCAAGAAAGAAGACAATGACGCGGCAATCACCAACCCGTTGGCCGCTCTGGCGCTTCTCTTCGCGACCAAAACAAATGGCCCATCAGCCGTGTACGTTTTGGTCCTCTTTGTGCATAGCAATAAGCAAAAAAGTTGCATGCACAGACATATGTTGAAGAGTTGCAGGTGTTCATGTAACCATTTGTTTGCACTTGCACAAAGATGCCAACTGTAATATGCGTATTAGCAACACCAGAAGCTAGTATGAAGTGGTGATGCTCACGAGGATGCTAGCCCTGAACACTGCTACATAAATTAACTTCAGCGCATGGCACATAACCACAACTGACGCTAACCCGACGGGAAGTCTTTATGAAAGGAGTACATATGTAACGTTTATAAAATTGGGTAGGCTGTACTGAAACCACTTTTGATGTTTCACGAAGATGAGCGTCTCTTTGAGAAGTAGTTCTGAGACGTGGCGCAGCCTTGTGGTGAAATACTTCATTGGCCACGCAGAATGCCTGGGTTTGATTTCCGCTGGAACCCTGACATTTAATTTTTCGATTCCTCGGGTCGATGCTACCGATATCAGGTGTTTCTTAACGCTCGCGTGTGAAAATTGCCCATGTGTGTTCTCGTCATTCCTCGGCAGATACTAAGTGTCAATCACCTGTGGCACATAACAGCATACCAATG